GTAATAGTTACTTAGGAAATAAAAACTGGGGTTAGAATTTTTGGAAGTTTTTCTAACTCTGAAAACTGAGTTGCCTTGAGCTGTTCATTCACATTCCTGTACTTCATGGTTAATGGTTTGCTTCTGCATCTGTCCTGTAGCTGTAGCTGACAGTAGGAAAGAGTAACATTTCTATTGCTTTGGCTTTGTTTGGGCCACCAGTTTGACTCCAAAGAAAAAAGTGTTTGAATTGCTGTGGGTGTTTGAATTTGAGATCTTGAACTTCCCAGCGCTTAGACCCAATCAACTGTTTTTATTCCTCTTTTGGAATCAGCAGCATTCAAAATAGGTTAGTTTTGGAAAGGATATAGCTTTAAATTATATTAATTCTCTTATATGTTCCTCTGAATATCAAATTCTGTAATAATGGTTTTAATCTTAAAGTCTGTTTGGGGGCATCCCAGCTTTCTTTCACATTGTATCATGGATTTCTCCAATTGCTTTTTGCTTTGCATTTGTTTTATATTTAAATGGAGTCTCTTGTAATAATATTTCCAATTTTTGCTTTATATTTAATAGGTGCCTCTTGTAATAAGCATGGAGCTAAGTTTGTTTGTTTATTTGTTTTTGAGACACAGTCTTACTATGTACTTTAGGCTGTCCTTGAACTCACTGTGTGCCCCAGGCTGGTCTCAAACTTGGCGGCAGTTCTCCTGCCTCAGCCTCCCAAGTGCTGGGATTACAGGTGTGCACCCCCACACCCAGTGAGTTAGGTTTTTTTTTAAATCAAATCTAATAATCTTTGTCTTTTAACTGGAATATTTATTCTGTTTACATTTACTGTAATTATTGTAATGTAGTATAATATAAATGCACATTAAATGCTTAACATTTATTGTTATTCTTTAAGTGGTTATCCTAAAGACTATAATATGTATCCTCGATATTTCTTAATGTTTATAACTTAGTTCCCTTACCATTTCTAGGAAATTCAAGATCCTTAGGAGAGATTAACTATATTTATTCTCCTACTGTTCACATATTTATCTTCTCATGTTGTTCTGTGTCCTTGCTGAATTTTCATGGTCCCAGAAATTCTTTTATTGTGCAGTCTACTGATGGCCAGTAATCTCAATTTCGAGTTTTTTCATTTTTATTTTGTCTTCATATTTGAAGACTATTTTTTTGCTGGCATGGAATTCTACAGTGGCAGGTGAAATTCCATTGTTGCCTGGTTTCCATCATTTCTTCTGAAAAGTTATTTATCAGTTTCACTGGTTCTTCTTTAAAGATAGTGTATCTTTTAGTCGCCTACTTTTAAGATTATTGTATTCTTGCATATGTACAATCTGATTGTGATGTGCCCAAGAGAACTTTTCTCTACATTTATCCATTTGGGATTCATGAGTACTTGCTGTCTTTCATCCATCTTGGAAAGTTTTTTGTCTCTCTAGATATTGTTCTTGCCAGCCACACATTTGTAATCGCAGCACTCAGGAGGCTGAGGCAGGAAGATCATTGTGAGTTCGAGGCCAGCCTGGGCTACACACTGAATTCAAGGCCAGCCTGAACTACATAACACTATGTAATTAGTGTTAGTTAGTGTTACTCTTTCCCCAAAATAAATAAATAAATAAATAAAGTTCTTTATTTTTTCTCTCTATTCTCTCCTTCTGTGGCCCTTATTTTATGTGTTAGAACTTTCACCATATCCTGTGTTTCTTTCATGCTTTTTTAAAATCTATGTTCCAGCCTTCCTCTTGAGATTTGTCTACTGATCATTAATCCTTTTTTTCTATGTCCATTCTGTAGTTCCCTGATCTATAGAGTTATGAATTTTAATTTTTTGTTTAATTGTATAATTTCCTTTTGATTTTTTAAAAAACATCCTAGTTCACTGGTAGCATTCTCCTTCTTAAATATTCTTTCTTTATTTTCATATTATTATAGTCATTGGAGAGTCCATGTTTGACAACTCCAGTATTTTAATCTCAGGTGGGTTTGTTGTTTCTGTCTTGGTTTTTGACCTTTAATCTTATCTCCTTGCATGTCTGGTAATTTTTTATTGCATATGAACAATTCTGGATACTCTGGAAAAGTACGTATTCCTCAAAAGAAAAGCTACTTTTCCTCCATCAAATAGTGATAGAAAAGGAAAATCAGTTTGATCCAATATGCTATTAAGATTACTCCAGGCAGGATCCAACTGGTTTGCTATTACTCCAAGGGAATAACCCTTCAGGGGTCTCAGTTAAAAGCCTGGGATGTTTGTTAAAGCTCTTCATCCTTAATGGGCCATGAATTCCAATTTTTGTCTCCTAGTGTTGGGAGATTGCCAGAAGCTCTGCTAGTTCCTTGTTAAGCCACCTTTATCGTTGGTTTCTCTACTTCTTACCCCACCCAGCTTAGTTTCAGGAACTGCTGCAAAGGTAATAACTGTTAACAATATCAACAGTAATAACTGTCAAACAATATCAGGCTCACACTTCTGCAGGTTTCATATTTCTATGATTTTTGCTCCTTGTGTCCAAGTTGCATTAGTATCCCTCAATTCTAGGACTGTAAGCTACCATGTTTTTATCAAGGCAGGCTTCGTCTCTCAGACAGATGATTTCTGTGTCACATGAGGTACACGAAATGAACTTGACCAACTACTAACATGCTGTGCTTCGTTTGACACAGAAATCATCTGCATATAGTTAGGAACATGTATACATAGGTAGAGATAGACATAAAAACATTTTTAAATGAAGATGTTCACTGAAGCATTGTTTAGGGTGGCTGAGAGATGAACCCTACTTCGATATTCACCACTAGGACAGTGCATAAATACAGAATGGACACAAGGTACAGAGTCACAGCTACAAGCTAGATATCCATCCAAGTGACGTGTAGACATTTTTAAATCTTAATGCACACTGAAAATAAAAAGCCTAGTAAACATGTAAATTAAATCATACCACACATAAAACAACACAATATCATTTATAAGGAAACAATCACATATTTAATACATTAGAGTCATTCCCAAGAGTAGGGTGGAAAATAGAGATAAATGGACAATTTTTAAAAATCCTGTTGGAAGAAGCTAATCTCTCAAGTATAGATTTCCTCTGTTCTTGTTACTCTGTCCCTCTGTCCCTTCCTTTCCCTTATCTTCCAACAGACATTAATTGGATGACACAATGAACAAGATCCAGTGTTAGGTGCTGGGGAGGAAGTAAGATGATTTCTATGGTGGCTTTGATCTTCCAGGATCTTAGGTAGGAGAGCAAGGGGAATGCACCAAAATCTTCAGTAGCTCTAACTCTGTCCCAGAGCTCAAAACTGACAACCACATTCCCACTCTGCTGTAAAGTCAGTCGACAAACAAGTGCTGTTCAGATGTTCTTAGTACTCTGAAGAATGAAGCTAGCACTCAGTAAGATAAGTAGACTCCGTGACTGCACCCTGAAGTGCTATGTGGCTGTCTCTTTCCTCGGCAGGCTTTTCTGAAAATATTCTGTCTTGGGTGTCAAATCCAAATGCCAGTGGTGGGCAGGAGGAAATATAAATGGAAAAAGAGGCCCCAGTGTAACAGAGTGGGGAGCCGCTTTGCCTAAACCCAGCAGCTGCCCTTGGGCTCCAACTGATGGTTGCCATAAAGACCATGCCAATAGTCTTCCACTTTTAAGAGAAGCTGAAAATCTCAATTTTTGTGTGTGAAATTGCTTGTTTTAGAACATTGGCAACTACCTCAAATATTTTTAAACCCCAGAGAGAGGAACAATTCATTTTGTTTTTAACCAGATTTTTCAACCAGATTTAGTTACTCAGCTAATAATTTGCTGCCTCTAAAGCCCACACTCATAACATCTGGGTGTTTGGAGCCCAGTGCTATATTTCATATCATTTTTAAATCTTTAAAATTTTAAAAAATTTTATCCTGGTAATAGGGATTGAACTCAGGGCCTTCACACTGCACTACAGGCCCAGCCTTTTTTATTTTTTATTTTGAGACAGGGCCTTGCTAATTCACTAAGTTTCCCAGGCTGGGATCAAACTTGTAACCCTCCTGCCTCAGCTTCCCTGACTGCTATAAGGTGTGTGCCACTATGCCCAGCTTAATTTCGTAACTTTACGTTATTTAGAACCATCAGTACCATCCGTCAATGCACTCACTGTATTTTAGTAACACGGTGGTAACTCATCATCCCAGTGGTGACCTTGTGACGATGATGTGGTCCCAATACATGCAGCCTTTCTCTGAAGACAGCTTGAATCAGTGTTGAGTGTGATCAGTTATAGCTGAGGCCTTTGAAAATGTGTCTTTAACTAAAAGCCGTATTTCCTCACCACGCTAAGTGGGAATTTAGAGAGAGTGACCGTGGACAGGGTACAAGAGTTGGAAACATTTGCAGTAAAAGAAGGAGAAAGACCCAAGGAGACCTGTCCCTATGCCCTCCTCCCATGCCATGTCATCAATACCATGAGTCACTCATGAGCCAGTCTGTTCTTTCTTCCAGCCAGTGACTGGCTGCGGACTTTTGCTGCCTAGAGGCACTCGTTAAATACCTTGGATGCATCCGAACCTTTCTCCACCTATACACATAACACTGTGTCAGTTTTGCGTCTTAACCATGGACAACTCCAAGCTCCTCTGGAGCCTCTTCTCTTGGGGAGTCCAAATCCAAATGCTCCCTCTCCTTCCTCCTCTGGGGAGCCACCTCGTTCACTGCCTGGGATTCAGATGGCATTTAAGAGAGCAAAATACAATTCTTCTCATGGGAAAATCCAGTATGAAGGAGGGGGACGTTTTAATCAAGTGGGTGTGCTCTCCAGGGGGGAAGCAAGTACCTCATTTCAATTCTTCCTTTCCCTTTGATGAAAAGTTCAGTGAATTTTTTATTACGTGGGATTTATAAGAAGCCTAGGTTTAGGTTATCAGCTTTAATATTTATACTGTTAGGGAAAGAAGTCGGAATCATTAGTAAGCATGCATAATTTATGAATAAATTATATTCCCCTTTATCTCCTTGCAGGTACAAGGAAATGCTAGAACTAGTGATCTCACCCAGCCTCACTGTAAACAACGACCGCCTGGAAAAACTGAAGTTGAGCCTCGACGGCGACGTGACAGGGGCTCTGAGTGACAGAGAAGGTAGGGCTCTGCGGTGAGTTTTGGTGACAGATGGTGGGTCCTGCTCGCCCTGTGAGCATCGAGAGGAACTGACATGTGTCTCTCCTCCTGTCATTTACATTGGCGCCTTGGGACCAAACTTTGGTATATGTCGCCCACAATCTTGTCATCATTTGGGGACAAGTGTGCACATTCGTGCCCTGAGCTCTCTGTCTTGGTCTCTGATTCCAGGAGACAAACTCTGCCTTCGCCACAGAGCAGTCTCTTTCAGGCATGTCCTGGGCCCAGCCTGGGCGTGTCCCGCAGGGTCTCAGGCTCCAGCTCTGTCCTCCGAGCTTTCTTCTGCCATCTCCTTGCCCCAGCTGGCATCTCGCCACAGCGCTTTGACGTTAAGACAAGAACTCATCTGCCTTTTGCTTTCAGGTTGGGTTGGAGTCAAGGAAGCAGAAGAGAGCTAAGGCTGTTTAAAAAATTATTGGCAACTGCTGCAGCTGGACTAGTTTTCACTAGAACAATCCCAACTATTGTTTGCTCTGTTGGGATCTGTCAGCCTTCCTGGTAGAGCTTGGAGTTAGCAAAGACATTCAGCTATTATGTTTAAGCATCAGGCTTAACCCTTTCCTTGGGCAGCTCAGGAGTTTGCTGCCAGTGTCCTAAAAACCCCCAGCTGGTTTTCTTTCCCTATGTTTGGTGCCACCTTGCAGGGCACAGATGCTGCAGAACTGTCGTGAAAAAACCCAAGGGTTGTGTGTCTAGTGTGATATAACATCACAAGGCATTTGCTTTTAGGCAAATCCGGGCTTCCGTGAGATATTGCTGCTTTCACCATGACAGTGACATTGCCCAGGTGAAAGGCGCCCAAGAGGGTCCGGGCTCCTGGAAAGGTAGAGGACACGCCCTCATTGTCTGGCACCTCAGAGCATCCATGTCAGGGCTCTTGGGGGGCTGAGAGGAATCACTAGGCCCTGTTCAGAGACAGTCATCCTCGATCCCTGCGTAGAGCCACGAGTCTGCTCAGACCGTCTGTGTTTCAGCACCAGTGAAGACAGGAAAGGGCCCTGGCCGCCCAGCAAGGATGGTCCAGGTCTGAATCCCAGCCCTGCCACTGCCCAGCCCAGGAAAATTGTTGAACCTTTCTGAGCTCCGGTTTCTCAGCTGTCAGAGGGGAGCTGAGTAACGACCCACTCTGTAGAGTGCTCATGGCGAGGATTCCATGGGGCGATGGGGTGTGACGTACTTGGCCTGCCCACCTTGAGAACATGGTAAATGATTAACCTAGTCCATTGTCCTTCTCCTCTGAATCAAATAACCACAGTGATTGCAAAACTGGGGTTGTGGATGGCACTGTAGCCTTGAGTCTGGCCCTCAGGCATGCCTTTGCTTGGTTTCTGTGGGCTTTTAAAAATCTGGACTTCTGCTTTCCCTTGAAATGCTGAACACTTCAGCAGTGCTAGGTCCTCCTTCCGCCTGGCTGCCAGGGGTAGGAGCTGAGAGTCAGCTGTCCCTTGGAGTCTCTGCTGCTCCCTTTTATCCTTGATTTTTGTGAGCACTTACTTTGTGCCAGCTGCTACTCAAAGCCATATCAATGGATGAATTGAGACTGATTCTCCCACCCCCACTCCATCACCAGCAGAGCTAACACTCGGCACTTCCTCTTTGCCAAGCACTTGTAGATTAACTCATTTAATCCCTGCCAGTACCATTATTATTACCAGTTACAAATGAGGAAATGTAGGCGCAGAGAGTTTAAATATCTTGATTGAGATGGCATACATTAATGATAGCCAAGAGTCGAACCTCAGTAGTCTGACCACAAAGGTCTGTTCTCCTAACCACTACACTATTTCTCATTCAGCTATTACACCCTTATTAGACTATGGGCTCATTTTACAGAGGTGGAAGTTGAGGCACAGGGTGTTAATCAGCCAACTTGGAGTCACACAGGATCAAGCCTAGGTACCCTGGCCCCAGTTCCCACTTAAAAATCACTCAAAGTCACTTTCTGCCAAGCTCTGCAAGTTACCAGACCCACACTGTCCAACTGCCCCAGCGGTGAGGTCCACAGATGCTCCTCTTGGGGACATGGGCTGTCATCGCCCTGGCACGAAGGCTTTGGTGAGGGAGCATTGGGGTAGAGAAAAGTTGCTCCAAATCCAGAGCAGGTGGCCATGGGTGGGTTACACACCCCCTTTCCCTCTGCAGGAGCCATGCCATCCTTGAGGGTGACCCCAGCACTGGATGGGGCTGCTTTCCCTGCCTGCCTCTGCGTCCTCTTCCTGGGCCACCCCTCAGCTTCAGTTCTTACTGAGTGGTCTGAAGGGTTCGGGTCAGAGGTGGACCCCAGAGAGCCGTGGGCCTCAGCACCTGCACTCAGAATTCGGAAGAGAAACGCACACCCCAGATGCACTCAGATGTCCCCCGCTGTGTTTCCACCTGTGTGCCCGTGACCAAGCCCCCGGGGCTCACTTGCCCTGTGTAAGTGGGAATAAGCATTCCATTGATGTCATGTCGTAGTGTCAATGTGAGCACAGCACGAGTTGGAAGATGGAGAAGAAAAGGGTTAGAGTAAGGTCTTAAATCCCTCGCCCTCACCCACAGGCTCCCCTTGTCCGTCCTGGACACCTCCCAAACTTATCTCCTCCCCTGTACTCTTTGCTTCCTGGGCCCAGCCCCTGATCATCTTTCTTCTGCTTCAACTGGAAGCACGATCCTGCTCTCAGGGCCTTTGCACTTGCTGTTCCCTCTCCTGGACCAGCTTTCCCCAGACTCAGAAGGACCGTCCTCTCCTCCTGTCTACATGCCCAGTGCAAGTACTGGAGAGACAGCACAGAAAAACCCATCTTTATAGAGACTGCCACAGGGAGCTGACAGTGGCAATAACAATAAGGAAGCCAGACGACTAGCATGTTGGATGATGATGCATACAGTAAGGGAAGCCACGCAAGGAAGAAGGATAAGAATGTGAAGAGGGTGTTGCAGTTTTCTCTAAGGTGGCTACAGAAGCTGTCACTGGGAAGGCAACAAAGACCCAGAGGAAGTGAGGGAGTCACTATGTGGCTGTGTGGAACAAGAGCGTTATGAACAGAGGCAGCAGCAATTGCACAGGCCCTGAGGCAGCTGTGTGTTCAGAGGACTGAAGGAGCGCGGAGGAGGCTGGTACAGTAGAGCCACCTGAGCAAGGGGACGAGGGGGGACAGATGATGTCAGCGAGATAACCAGGGTCAGGCCACACAGGCCTTGTTGGGCCCCTGGAATGACTTCAGCTTCTTCCTTTGAGTAAGAAGGGAGCCATGGGAGGAACAACCTCACCTACTGATCCTGCGGGCTGCAGGATGCCAGATGCGGGCAAGTGGGGAGACCATGGAAGAGGGTGTGGTGATAGCTCAGGTGAGAGGTGCGGTGGCTTGGGGGGAGGTGGGCGGGGCACTGGGCTGCCCTGAGAGCGCTCCCACAGAGGCCCGGGCCTGCTTCAACTCTTTGGTTCTCTGCACCTCCGGAGTCTCCACCAGAGGCTGCCGATTTGTCCCTGGTTGCTTGTTGGTGTCTCCCACTAAAACGCTGAGGCCTCTGCAGAAGAACAGCCTGGCTCGTTTTCATCCCACACTACTGAGAAGGGATTAGAGGTGCTTGTGGAGTGAGCAGTGTGGAGGAGCCAGTGCACTCCCTGAAGGGAGACTGAAAGCCCTCACCACCTCTGCACACACGTTCCCCCACCCTGGGGGCCCTTCCTTCCCTCTTTTTTTTAAGACAACATAATTTTGAGTCACCAGGTAACATATAAATGCGTGACCCTTATAAAAATTTGGAACCTTGACCAAATGTCCCTTTACCACATCCTCCCCAGCTTGCCTTCTCCTCTGCTCCCCAGAATAACGTGTTCCGGGGGTGCCCTATTTAAGACCTCTTTCATGCAGCTACATATATGGAAATGAATATTTGTACCACTTGGGTATGTATTCTTACAGATATATGTGTATTTCTAAATGTATATTTACTATACAAATCTTAGGGTTGCTGGAAAAAAATTTGGAACAGAATTTCCTGTAATGTGCTTTGTTCATTCAGTTTGTTCAAGACAGATATAATGATCTGGTTCTCTCTCTTTTTTAAACTGTACAGTCTTTGCTGAAGTCTTCATCCAGCTGCTCCCCTGCAGATGAACACTTAGGTTGTGTCACCCTTAATTTGGGGCCCAGGGAGGGGGCTTTGTGGGGCACGGAATACAGAGCCTCGATTTGCTGGGCAAGTGCTCTATCACAGAGCCACCCCCTACACCCCTGGCCCTTTTTTAAAAGCTTGAGGGAGTCTCACTAAGTTGTCGAGGCAGGATTCAAACGTGTGATTCTCCTGCCTCAGCATGCCGAGTAGCTGCAGTTACAGGCCTCTGTAAGGCTGATTTGTAATTTTTTTTTTTCTCTTTACAAGCAATGGCACTACAGCATACTGCCCCACGAGCTCTTGCAGGAGGGCGCTGCTTCTCGAGGGCAGGTCCTGAGAGGCCAAAACACAGCATACAGGGCACATTCCCTGTTGCCTTTCTCTTTCCCAAATTCTCCCTCACTCACCTTCACTACCGCCACCCAGGGAAGCTTCGTGGGCCCTTCTACAGGAAGATTCAGTTGTAGTTTCTCACTCATTCCTCCATTCATCCCGTAATGTATTTAACAGACTGATGTATCCCGCTGCGTTTGGGGCACTGGGAACTCATGGAGAACCAAGGCCACCCGCTGCCTGTCCTCAGGGCCTGACCTCCAGATGGTCGCACTGCTCCAAAGGGCACTTTGTCATCTCCCTGTGATCCCTGAACATCGTAACCTACAGGTTACTTGCATCCCAGCCATGCCTTGCTCACTTCTGCCCCTCTCTGAGCTTTAGTCTCCTCTTCTAATAATGAGGATTATGTTTGCTGCATGCTTTGCCCAGTAGCTGATTCCCAAATGCCTACCATGGCCTGGGCCCTGAGGTCGTTGCTGGGAATTAGTGATGGACCGGAAAGACAAACGTCCACACCTAGAGCTGAT